AAAAACGCTCTTGGAGAAAAAAGTTACATCGGATCCTTTTTTAATGCCCACGTAACAAATCTCAATGATTCCTGAGTTGCCTGTACGTGGATCAAATTCGGATTGCATTTCTGATTGATTGTACTTTCCCTCAGTTCATCGTCCGAATCATTTTCCGCAGCGAATGGATGGAATCCACTTAATCTGAAATTTTGTGCGTAACGTGTAAGTATTTCGAAAGGACGTATTTTTTATAAAAGTTTAAATCAAAGCGTGTTTTTGCTTTTTAATTCAGTACTCCAAACAAAACATAAAATCTCAACTAAATCTTCCAATTAATATTTTATGCCTATTTTTAGTGCTGAATTAATTAACAAAAATGGCGTTTAAACATTGAATTAATAATAGCATTAACAAAATTTTCATATAATTAAATTTTGTTTAAATTTTTATTTGAAGTTTCCGGTATACTTTTGAGTACTGAATTAACAATTAATAGCGAAAATATACATCAGTGTATGCTGATTAAATATATAATTTGTAAATAAATAAAGTCCAGTTATGTTTATTATTATAATTATTTAATCATTTGTAAGTTATTACCGAAATTATTTTAATTACTATTAGAACTGTCAATTATTGTAAGTTCAATTACACCAATTAATTACGTAATCAATTATTTGATACATTTAGTTCTACATCGTCGGTTGAAAGACGATTAACTGTATTGCCACCAATTTGATTATATCATTGTATTTCACAGCATTAATTTTTTCTATTTCACTATTATTTAATTGTGTTATTCATGTATTTCAGTTCATATCATCAAATTCAAGTCAAGCTAAATTCGTATTTGTAATCGTAATGAATTCATAATCACGCTAAATCTTTAATTCATATTAGATTTAATTATATTGTTTGTGTTATTCATGTAATTCATTTCATATCATATTTCACCGAATCAACATAATCGACTAACTGCATTATTATTAATTATCAAATTTCATTTTAAGTGTGCGCAATTTAACCGTATATCACTTTTGTCCGTCTCTTTTTCTTTCCTAAAATAACGAAATTGGCTGTGAAAAACTGCTTAATAACAGCCTTTTTAAAAGATTCTGTGAAATTTTAGATTGCGCGCTTTTTTTAAAGATTTTAGAATTGTACTATTTCTGAAAAATTTTTTGGGGAAAAAATGACTCACAAACAAAAAGTAATCACTCCAAGACCCCACATATCGCATTGTGCTGTGATTGCGTTTTGCTTTTCATCGGTGCGCAGTACTTCCGGTGGTGCCCAGTACAAGTTTGGGTTCGTTGGTCGTTTCAT